CATGACCCGTTCCGTATTAATACGGCGTACTATATATTATTATCGACAAGAGAGAGACTGTGGAGACCTCTAGTCAAAGACGATATACATGACAACTAGTATTACAAAAGTACAGCGTATGATTTCCTAACCTGAAGATAGTCGTTATAACATTAAAATTAAATATTATACAGTAACTGACTGGATGTTCAATTGAACTGCACAAATTTCTATCAGGACCATATATTGAACAGATGTATCATAGCTATACATCCATAATTATATAGGTGTTTCTGGATCATCGAAGTGCAGCGGTTTCCATACGATTTCAGAAGTCAAGGATATATCCTAATATGAAATTAGTTCTGGAATTCAGGGAAAAACGGTTTTTTTTTGTCATAATTTTATTATGTGTATTCTGCAATAAGATATTAATCAATAATAATACTCATTTTAGCAATAAAACTATAAAATTAATGTACCATTGAAAGCATTACTGGCTAGTAGTAAAATCCTCAGTGATAAAATACTACCATTGACAAAAACTCATTCAGCTTGCTATAAAATGTTATTGAAAACGTCATTCATTTTCAATGATTTTTACAATAACACTTTAATAGTAAAATCATCTGTTTTTTCGCGACGGGCAGTTTAGTAACCCCATAATGTTACCTCGGAAGACTTATATATATCATCTAGATGCCTTTTTTAAGTGAACTCATCCGTTAACGCTTCTCATGTTAGTCATTGCGATTTTTGTTTCATCCCGATCAGTTTTAAGGTATTAAATAATTACTTTAGACTATCCAGCTTGCGAACTGGTTTTGGGATGTGTCTTTTTCGCCTGACAGTTGTGGGAGAAAGTATGCAGATCGTCATGTTATACTATCATCATGACTAGAAAGGTTTTTTTTTACAACGCTGAAGAAGGTCAGAAGTTAGCTGAAACGTACATATCATCTTTGTTTTTTATTAGTTGACGACATATTATCAATTTTATTATTTAACCTTACGTTTTTTTATATTTTATATTATTGTATACAACAGTCAGCGCACAAATTACGGCACAGATTCCTATTGCCTTTGTAACGATGCACCCCCATAAGTGCATCATTCCCGGCAACACCAACTCGCCGGATGCCGCTACGGTG